GCCTTGTTTAAATCCTTATAATCTACACACATTCTAAGTTTGTTCCCTTTTATAGGAACTACAACTACATTGGCTAACCATTCGAGATATTTCACCTCCCGAATGGACCCTATTTTGAGAAGTTTAGTTACCTCATCCTTTATGAATGCGTGCTTTATCTCGGATTGGGGTCTCTTCTTTTGCTTCACCGGTTTGAACCCGGGGTCCAGGCTCAGCCGATGTATCATTATCTCCGGTGGGATCCCTGTCATGTCTAAATGGGACCAAGAAAAACAATTTTTGTTATTAATAAGAAATTGAATAAGCCTCTTCCTGAGTTCGGGGGTTAATCCCGTTCCCAGGTATACCTTTCGCTCGGGCCGATACTCGATCAATATAACCTGTTCCAGCTCTTCGACCGTTGATTTGGTGGCGTCAGAATCTTTGAGAACAATAAAAGTTCGAGGGGTCAATCCCCCTCTTCTTCTTCTATCTCCTGCTTTCCCGATTCGGTCGAGGCTGATGGTTGTGATTGCTATTTGACTTCCTCTTTTCCTTTGATGCTCGACTTCTCCGAGGTTGATAGTGCCGATATCGGTGTTACCTCGTCGACCACAGATATTTCCTTTGCAGCGTGTTGTTCCTCATATATTGTATTAACACCGTCCGACGTCGGGAATTTTATCACTTGGTGGAGGGTCGAAGGGACTACCCTCATATTGTGGATCCAAGGTCTTTCGAGCAGGGCATTGTATCTCATGTCACCCTCGATTACGTGGAATTTGGTGTCTTGAATCGTTCCAGCCACGTTCACCGGTATAATAATCTCTCCTTTAGTTGTCTCACTGGCCATATTGAAGCCGTTTAAAAACCGAGTTGCAGGTATGATTTGATTCTGTAGGCCGAGCTGTTTCACGACCTTCTGCTTCTTCGTTGTTGAATGACAAAGTGCCTTCGGGCACATAGTCTCGGGTTCATTTTTCTCTAGTGAATGATACCTTAGTGTGTTTGAACATGGGTCCCTGTGGAACGTCGATACCACCGACGATTATATGAATGACATGTTGGGGTTCCTCCTGTTCATTTTTCTTGTTGGCGTCTCTTTCTCAGAAATGATTCTTGGCTCGATCGCTGAGGAACTCTCGAAGGTGTCCCTCATTGAATAGACAGGCTACCTCTTCCCTTAATTGTCTGCAATCCTCGGTCTTGTGACCATACGTGCCATGATACCCGCACATCAAATTTGGGTTTCTTTGGGAAGGATCGGTCTGTATGGGTCTGAGCCACTTAGTATCTTTGATCCTTCCGATTGCCGATACAATGCCCGATGCATTGATGCTAAAGTTATATTCTGATAACCGAAGTGCCTTTGTGGGATCGGCATACTTGTCAAAACCACTTTTGCTCATAAGTCCCCGAGAACTCTGTCCTTGATCACTTCTTCGATTGTTCCGGGCGGAATTGTGTTCTGAACCACTGTTCTTTTGATCTGCGGTATATGGTTGATATCGATCTCTGTTTGACCTTCGCTCCCTATCGATGTCCCTCTGGTTCTTAATTACCGACCTGTTTGGATAAACTGAATCGGATGGGGCTCTTAGTTGATCGTCCTCAACCCTGATCTTCGACTGATATCGATTGTGCACATCTACACAGGTCACGGCTGGATACTCGATCAAACTTTGTTTCAACTGACGTGATACTATCAAACTCCGCTCGTTCAACCCTTGGGTGAAAGCTTGAACGGCCCAATCATCTGTGAATGGTGGCAATTCCATGCGTTCTATTTGAAATCGGGACATTAACTGCCTCAGCATTTCATTATGCCTTTGTCTTACCTTAAAAAGGTCCGATTTCCTCGTTGTGACCTTTATGGTACCCGTGTGTGCCTTTACGAAAGAATCTGCTAACGTGGTAAATGAGTCAATGGAATTTGGCGGCAAGTTGTGATACCAAATCATTGCTCCCTTCGAAAGGGTCTCTCCGAATATTTTCAACAACACAGATTCGATTTCGTCATCTTCTAAATCGTTACCCTTTATGGCACACGTGTAAGAGGTGACGTGTTCGTTAGGGTCGGTCGTCCCATTATATTTAGGGATCTTGGGCATGCGGAATATTTTGGGGATCAGTTTTGGAGCTGCACTCGGGTGAAAAGGCTTTTGCACGAAGTTTTTGGAATCCAACCCTTTCAACACTGGTGGTGCCCCCGGGATTTGATCGACTGTTGAGTTATATGTTTCCACCTTTTTATCGTTTTCTTTGATCCATTTTGTGAGTTCCTCGAGTATCTTAGCAATTTCGAGATTAGTACCTGATTCTTGCTCATTTGACCTTATTATAGCTGGCTCCATTCTATGGGTGATTTCTCGGGGTGGACTGGGCTCCGGTATGCTCGGTACCTGGGTTTGACTCTGCAATTGAGCTATCGCTACCTGTTGAGCTTGCAACATTTCGAAAATCATACGCAAGATGATTCTGTTTTCCTCAACGTTATGGGTTTCTCGAGGTGCAGATCAGGTACCACCATGAATGCTATTTTTAGGTTCAGAATGTAGGTTTGCCTCAATGGCCACATGCGAATTAACATCTAATGGTACTTCGACTCGAGCTCCAACGGCGTCGACAAGTGGCATTCCGGCCCTGGGCGTCAAGTTTTTGTTCTCACCTTGAAGGCCAGCTTCGTTGTCGATAGGTAAGGCCATTTAATTGAGATCTCGTCGTTGCGAATCCGAAATCAATGATACTTCTGAAAACAAGCGTAAAATGGTGTGTTTTTGCAGATTCGTATCAAATAACCACTGTTATCCTTAGCCCCACGGTGGGTGCCAAACTGTATGCCTAAAAAACATATAGAGTTGAATTTGTACATAGTTATAAGGGTATGTGGTATAACTCGACACAAATCGTAAGAGTAAATAAGAATATCGAATATTGACTGTAAGGATGAAAAATAAGTAAAGTTGAAAAGAGGATGATTTATGGATTACGCAAGATGAATCAATCTTATGAAGCTAAAAAAGGATAATTCTTAAATATGGGAGTGTATGATATCTGAGTTACAATATATGCCAAAACTTGGTCCTTTACAGAAATATAGCCATCCCTCTTATAGTAAAAGGATCCTACTTTAGATAAAATACATAGTGGGGAACCCATGATAAGTCGGCTTTTCCTTAATTCCCGCTGAGGTTCTTTCCCTTAGTGCGGTTGTAACGGCTCTTGTCTACGAGCTCGATCTTGATCGGACTCGGTATTGGTCGGTTTCCAGTTTTAGAGCTCGATGCGGGTTTGAGCTTGATGTTGACTTGAGGCCCAGTATTAGGCCGGTATTGGTTGGCCTTTGGCCCTTAAAATCGATTCCATCGCTTCTCATCATAGTTCGATTTGGACGCGAGCTCGATAATGACTTCGAGTTCGGTATTTGACCTGTCCCTGAAACTCGAAGTTCGTTTGTGCCTTCTTCGGATCCCATCTCGATATTATGAAGACTTTCTTCGGTCCATTATATTCCTGTCTCGATCAGTCGTACGAAGGCCAAAATCAATTTCTACCGTATATATTATTATAATAAGTATTTTTACAAACCATTGCACATGATGGTTTAGTTTGGAATGCAATCATGCATGATATGGTTGGTTCACTCGATGGAGTTAAGTATCGAATATCGCTCACATATTTTAAAGTTTTGGGACGTAACAAAAAATTTAAGGAAAAAGAACACATCATCCTTAAAGCGGTACATTTGTACTTACCATCGGTAGACTTGGGGGATGGAAAAAGAAACGGCTTCGAAGAAAAAAATTGGGGTTCCCAATGCTTCTCCACGCTCAACGAGATGCGCCAACCTCGGGATACTTTACTCCTAACCCCATAAGGTTCCGAGACGGAGCTTAACCTGAGTCTTGATTAAGAACGACGATGATATACGTTTCACACGGCATCTGCTGGTGTAGCTGGAGAAGAACCAGATAAAGGGTTGAGGCCTTAACTAAGTACTAACTACTATTTTGTTGGAGTGACTTCCTTCGATTGGACCTTCCAATCGAATGAATCTTAATCTCGCAACTTCCTGGCCTCATTTGTTTGTACTTAATGGAGATCTGAATCTTAATTATTCAGATTTTATAGTTATTAAATACGTTTATTTTTTAAATTTAGATTTTAATCATTTAGATCTTACCATTAAGTCTGTTTTATTTTTAATTTTACAATCACTTAATGAGTCTGATTGTTGCAGCCAAACGCACACGCAAGTATATACGGTCGTCAAGTAATAAAGTGATAAGAGAGAGTGTTGAACCCATGAGTACTTGTTATTAACTATTAACTAGATCAGACTATCTTAATTATCTAAACAAGGATTAAATCCAAAAGTAGTGATGCTAAAGTAATTAATCTAAAAAGAAAATAAATAATGAAGTATGAATAAAGGAAGCGTAGATTTTTAAGTTATCAATGTAATGAAAACGATCTAGAGTTATGGGTTACCTAACATTCCTATTGTATTCTTCAATTGAATTGACTAACTAATTTATCTAGTTTATTGGTTGACAAGGTTAATATCGCTCATAAGAATCTGTCGAGTACATACTCGCCTATTCAAGCTAACATAACGCCTATATGTCTGTGGAATTAGAACTAACAAGAACGCATTTGTAATTCCTGTAAATCAACGAAGCAAGGCAATCAGATATATGTCTATCCTAACCGCGAATCTGTTCTCCGATGCCCAGATTTAAGAACTTGCTCTATTAAATCCTATATGCAATCTAGAATTTCCACTTTCGAGTTCAATTCTAGATTCGTAGATAGTATTCAATTGGTGATTGAGCAATCAAATAATTAAGCATATGATTGAATAAATAAACTAATATGATAAATCAAGAAATCAAAATAATATTCGAATAACAAGAGTCATGAAAGAACCACAACCCTAGAACTTGAAGTTTAGCTCCCCACATAAACATGATAGCCAAACAACAAATCATATAGAGAAACATAAGAAATACTAAGTTTGGCGGAAGAAGATGAAATCCGGCCTCCACGGTGGCTCCTTGCTATCCCTAAGTCGAATCCCCTTCAAAAAGTGTGTTCTATCCCCTAAAAGAGACGTTTTTGACCTATATATTGCGTATAAAAGTCGTGGGCAAAAATTTCCCTTTATCTTTTCCGAATCAGCTTCAGAGATTGATGGTGGGGTGGATGCTTCGCGTCCGCCTTAGCTTGAACTTCTAAGCATTGAATATTGGGGTGAATGCTTTGCGTCCACCCTCTGTTCCCTCAACCTTGCTTTATCCAGGTGCGAATGCTAAGGTGGATGCCTTCTTAAGACTTCATTGCTAAGGTTGCTCCAAATTGCATTTTTTTCAAGGTTGGATGCGACGCATCCACCCTCTTCTCCTATAGAAGGAGCATCGTTTCTTCATATTTTTGCACTCCAAACATCCTAAATCATCACACAACTTAATTAGTCATAAAACCAATATTTAACATATGTTGGTCATTTTTAACACCAAATAGCCCAAAAAAACTGTTAAAACATGGGTAAAGTAATATTAATACATATAGAAATATGCCCAACATCAATAGATCTTCATGATTAAGATCTATAGTAGGGTGTATTATTAAGATGTTATGCAAAAATGATATTTTACCATTTCTCCATACACTTTCACCGATAACCATCACCGTCGCTACTACTGTGTCCCACACTATTATAGATTACCACCACTCACTGCCCACCACCCACTACTACCATCCTCAACCACAACTACCCCCACTGCCAATTACGACTATCAATTGTCATTACTATTAGCTACCATTTTCAACTATCAACCATCATCACCACAACAACCATCAGTCACCACTATACCACTATATATCACCTACCACTATTTTCAGTCACCACCACCATCAACCATCACCATTAACTACTATTATCATCCACCATCTACTACCCATAACTATAACCATAACCATCAACCAACACCACCACCAACCACTACCCAATCGGTATCCACAACCACTACCATTAGCCATCACCATCACCAACCATCATATATTTTTTTGAAAATATTTTAGTAATAAAGTATTAGATGAATTAGTATTTGATTTAAATTTATATTTATTAATTTTTAAATAAAGACAATTTTATATGTTCAGATATTGAGAAAATAAATAATTTTAATTATTCAGTATTTAGATCTTAAAATAATATTTTAATATTTAAATATGTATTTAAATTTATATATTTTAATCTTAATACATATTTTAATATTCAAATACGTATCCAAATTTAAATATTTTAATCCTAATAAAAACAAATAAAGCAAAGCGCTTTTCATGACCGAAAATGTTTAGAAATTCCTAGAAGATAGTTGTCCGCAACAACCTGATGCAAATGAGCCTGAAAATTAGGTGTTGGCGTATTCTTTTGAGCAGTTGGAAAGCACGAATTCGTCTTCATGTTTTTGGTGGACTCCTATTAACTAATGTTTGGGCAATAACTCCAGCTTCAAATGCCTTCTGAGTCAAATTCTTGGACAGCGGATTCGTCTTACATGTTTAAATTAAAAAAAGGAACAATTTCATAATTTCACTTGTGATTTTGCGTTATTATGCTTATATTGTGCTAACCTATTTATTACTCTCTCTATCTATATTTATGACAATAATCACTTTTTGAAATTCAATTTTTTTAATTTTGACTGCATATTTGAACATAGAGTTCTTTAAGTTTTTCTAAATAAAATTTACATATTTGAAAATTACGTAAAATTTATAATTCAAAATATTTAAAAGACATACAAAAAAATTACAATTAAAAAATAACTTTTTTGACTCTCGAAATTCGAACACCGAAGGAATAGTAATAAAAAAAAATTATGAGTTGACTAATTTGGTCTTTTTAATACTACTTCTCTTTGCCCCCTCCATCACCACTCTTATGTTTCATAAGTATATCTATCATTTTTGCCGTATTTGCTGCTATTGCTTTCATTTTTTGCAGTAGCCTTTAGTTAAAAACATGACTATCTTCTTGATATAAGGGAGAGACATTGCCTTTATTAAAAAGAAATAAAGAAAACTACGGTATATGAAAGTACGTACCAGCCTAGGCTCTCTCCCATGTGCATATATATTACATATATTGGTACAATTAAGTCATACAAACACCCCTACCCATGATGTCCGAAGAACATCTAGAGCAATAAAACTTTTTGCAATGAGAATCAGAGTGACAACGATAATATGTGCATCTGTCATTTTGCTGGTGCTGCAGCACTTCACTTCTTAATAGCTCTATTGTTGCCATTGCTCCTTCATCACCTACTTGTACTTCTTCCATGATTATCCTTCCAGACGATGTAACTACGTACATTTATCATTAAACTTCTATTTTACTATGCACGAGTTTAAGAATAAATCTAAACTTTTAAAACTTATCCTAAACAAGTCATAATATTTATGTGAATATAATTCTTTAGATCATAAATATACCATAGTATTTGCATGCCTCTTAAAGCTTCTCATTAAATGTAAAATTAAAAATTTAAATTAAACTATTTTGAAATTTAATAGGGGACAATTTTTTTTTATGGAAGAAATAACTATTTGAAAATATAATCTACTCTAGCCTTCATTGAAACACATGTATACAGAGAGATGGGGGGAAGAACTAACCAATGGTAAATAAGAGGAGGAGGACAGTGAAAAGAGCAAGTTTTGTTGAAGATTTGGAAGCCATAATTCTGGTCTGTAATGTCAAGGTCATCGTCCGGGTTTTATAGTATGATAGTTTTTATTTATAAATTAGATTAAAGTTGAAAGGGGACAATATTATTATATTAGGAGCAGTATGGTCAAGATTACATGGCAATAGGCCTACCCGTGAGCCACACTATAAAAGTCCGAATAAATGAATAAATTATCAAAAAACATATGACCCATCATGGCGGCTAATTCGACATGTTAGGTAAAATAGATTTTGAAACGTTGTTTCCATTATAATATCTGCATTGGTCTCTCGGCTCTATCCTAAAAATGCCACTTTATTGTAAAGCGAAGCCAAGTCCTAGCCGCCATGAGAGAGAAACCACATACTTATATTTGCAAGAAATACACAACAGCTAAACTACGATAATAACTACCAAAGACGTTGCAATTGACTATATTAACGTGTAAATGTACTTGTCACGATCCAAAAGTCCATCAATGATCATAATGACCTAACATTTAAGATTAAGTAAGCCAAGCACAAAATGACACAAAAAATTTAAATAAGATATAATAACTCTGAATTTTCTTTTTTACATAAATTACGTAATAAAGTCTCAATAAAGCCAAAATATAGGTACATAAGTCAAACTTTCCAAACCTAGGTAATAATGAGTCATGAACTCTAAACATAATACATAACGAGTCTCAATAAGTACAATAATGTTTGAAAGTAATACAATAGTATAAAAATGAGGGAAGGGTACTCCAAGGGTCTGTGGCGTTCATGCAGTATTACCTTGAATCCTCTCGAAGATATCACAAGCTCACTCACGAGGTATGCTCCCTCCAGTATCCGGATCTGCACAAAAATATGCAGAAGTGTAGTATGAGTATGGGTCAACATGTACTTAGTAAGTATCAAGACTAACCTCGGTGAAGCAGTAACGAGGTTCAAGTCATGTTATATACTCACTAATCAGAGAACCTGTGCAATAATACAAATAACTGCCAACAAGAATATAATGAGATATAGTACCATCAATACAACGACATGAGTTATCAACTTATCACAGGTAAATCATGTTTGACAAAAGAATTATCAGTCAAAAATAGTGGCATAGAGTAGCATGTTAAAAAGAAACGTGAAATCATATAAAGTGCATCACAAAGCATAAAGAAATCACTTGTTCAGTCAGGAATGCTACCCTTATTCTCCATATTTCACGATAAGAATTCCACTCTTATACTTCACATATCAACGACAAGAATGCCACCTATATGCTCCACATTTCATCAATAAGAATGCCATCACTATACCCTACATATCATAGATATGAATGCCACCCTTATGCTCCATATTTTATCAACAAGAATTTCACCTTTATACTCCACATTTCATCAACAAGAATTCCACCCTTATACTCTATCTATCATAGATATGAATGCAATTCTTATACTTCGCATCATCACAATAACAATATCCGTCCCAACATGTCCACATGTACCATAAACATAATATTTCATGATAATATTTTATCATCAAGAGACATATTCTCATAATTCATCAATAAAGTGCACGACGACATGAAAATAATAGAGTGCAGATGTGTGCTCATGATATAAGACATGACTACGACTAAATCAATTTAGCAATGCTTCCACTAAACATCTTGGCTAATTAGGATATAACAATCCTAAAATATAATCTCTAGCATGAAAGTATAAGCTCGTGTAGTCATACAAAGAGTTACACATATATCATAGAGAGTACACAATCAATTTAAAGCATAATAGAAGCCTAGAGTCTAGTCCGGTTATTTTTCATATATAGCACCCACATATATGCTCGTCACCTCGCATGTATGTTACATCACATACATTACAATTAGAAAAATAAGATCAGAGCTTAAGGGTTATTCCCTTACACAAGATTATGCAAGATACTTACCTCAAAGGGACCAAATCAACCCTCCAAAATTGTCTTTTCTTTAGAAACTATCTTCGACCGGCTTGAATCTAGCAAAAAATAACTCAATAGCGTCAAACAAAGCCATAAGAAATAACCCCAAATAATAAAACTTCGATCTTTAATCAAATTCTCAAAAGCCAACAAAAGTCAATCCAAGCCCACATGGACAAAATTCGAGTCAAGGGGAAGCTCCCGATTACCATAATTCCACTAGTTAAATACATAATTAGATTTTAAAACTGAGTCCAAATCGATTCCCAAATCTCCAATTTTTACTCTCTTAAGTTGTAGACAAAAATTTAAAATTTTCCTTTAAAATTCAAAGTTTTAGGTATAGAAATCCATGGGAATTCAAGATATAAAGACAAATTCAAGTGAAAATTTCTTACTTCCAACGTAGTTGTGAACATGCTCTCCAAAATTTCCACATCTTGAAGTTTAGGGCTCAAAATATGAGAGAATGGATAAAACTCCTGAAATTATATCACTTAAAGGTCTGCATAGTGATGCACTTTGAGAACGCTGCTACTGCCTCGTGTTTGCGAAGCACAAATAACACAACATCAAATAACTCTCCGCGAACGCGGCCCCCAGCCCAGGAACATGATGCACAAGTTCCACTGGCCTACGAGAACACGATCACACACTCGCAAACATGAAAGCTTAGCTCCAGTATTCCCCTAGCCTATCATCATCCTACACGAACGCGACCGCCAAGGCGCGAACGCGAAGGACAATCAACCACAATGTCATGACCCAAATTCTACCACAGGGGTTATGATGACACCTAGTCTCTAAAACTAGATAAGCTGATCACTTAACAATATTAAATCAATAAAACATGATATAATAAGGCAAAGTTCAATATAAAAGCAGAAATAAAGTTAACACAAGCCGAAATGGTTGTACTTAATATATCTCCTTAGAAAGAGATAAGTCATTAGCTATAACTGAATACATACGGAATATACAAAATACAATACTGTTTGAATGAAGAAATAACAATATCAACATAAAGGATGAGACTCTAAGGGACTGCGACAACATGCAGTTTTACTTTGAATCCTCACGAACGATGCAAGCTCTCACTCTCATGCCGCAGCCTCCAACACCTGGATCTGCAGAAAAATATGCAAAAGTATTGTATGAGTATACTACAGTCAGTACTCGGTAAATATCAAGACTAACCTCGATGAAGTTGGGGTGAGATTCAAGTCATATGATACACACTAGTCAAAAAACTATGCAATATATCAATAAGTGGAAACAAAATATGTACGGGAAAACAATATCAACTGTCTTGTAGAACAATATGATAACAACTCGATGTAGAAAAGTTCAACTTTGCCAACAAATCATCCAATATAGGTTAAGTCATATGATAACATGTCAAGTTTCACTAATGACTCATTAAAAATACAAGACAAAATTTTGAGAAACATGTATGTGATCAAATATCAACCTCGTTGCAACACATAAACAACATCAAGAAAGACACCCCCAAATCATCACATAGCATCATCAGCAATGCCACCCTTATTTAGCTACATGTGCACATAAATAATAAAACGCCTTCCTTATTTTTTCCTCATGCACATATCACCACCCTTATTTCTCCACGTGGGCAACCTAAGAAAAAGTCCACCCTTATTTTGCCCCACGCGCACATCAATAATCAAAATCGCATGGTAAAGACCTCGTGCTGACACCCCCAATCAATCCCCTCAACAGGTCCACATCTGCCATAATTAACAAAAAAATAATAATGCCAAAATTTTGTCAAAGACATAAGCTCACAACTTATCAACAAAGTGTACAAGGGCATGACAATAACATAAAAGTGCAGATTAGTGTTCAACACATAAAGAATAATTTGGCTAAATCAACTGTATCGATCATGATCATGTAGTCACAAAGTGATTAAGCATGTTTCACGTAAATTATATCATCAAATTAAGGCATATTAGTAGACTAAAGTCTAATCCGGTCATAAGCCACACATATCACCCGTGTACACGCTCGTCACCTCGTGTACATATCGCTTTTCACATAACAAGAACAAACAATTAAGGCTAAATCCTAAGGGGCATTCTCCCACACAAGGTTAGAAAAGATACTTACCTCAAATAAGCCAGATCAACACTCTAAAAAGCCCTTACCTCTTAAATCGGCATCCGAATAAGTCAAATCTAGCAAAAGAATTAGGCAATAACTATTACGCCCCGCACTCTTTTCCCAGGCATGAAGCTGAAATATGTGAAAATTTAGCCTTTAGAGAAACTAATCAGTTGATACCATACCTACGGACAAAAAGGTGATTACATTTCATCAGACTTGCGCCAGCTGTCCCACCAGGTGTAGTGGCCAGGACGACCCATTTTGCATGTGGTGGCGGTGGAGTTTTCTAGGCTTCATATAAAAAGGCAGTACAACTCTCTTTTCTTTCATTCCAGAAAAAGATCGCTAACCTTAGTTTGCCCAAATTGCTCTCAAGCCTTCTAAGAATTTCCTAAACGGATAAGGCTAGAATGGAAGGGAACTTGGTGAAATATTTAGGTAAAGGGGCTTGTGATTATCAATGTACCATCTATGATCTTGTGATACTAACTTTGGAGATTTCTTTGGAAATAAAGGTAATCACCATGGAAATCGGAGGTTCAGGAAGCGTAGATAATTCTTTAACAAGGTGTAACGACCCGACTGGTCATTTTGAGCATTTATATTTAGATTGATAGTTTGAGGTCATGGGTAGATTCATTTGGTATATTGTGACTTGCATGTATGGTCAGTTTTGATTTTCAAGTGGTTCGGTATTGACTTGGAGGAATGATTCTCTATTTAGAAGCTTTAAGTTAGAAGGATTGTCCAAGTTTGACCTTTATATATTTGACCTTAAATCGGAGTCTTGATGGTTCTATTAGGTCTGGATGGTATTTTAGACTTGGGAATATCCCTGGATTTGCATTTGGATGTCTCTAGAAGATTTTAGCTCTATTTGGCGAAAGTTAACAATTTGAAGATTTAAAAAGTTCATAGGTTTTATTGGGAGTTGACTTTATTAATATCAGGTTTGGATTGTGGTTTTGAGAGTTGGAATAGGTCCGTTGTGTCATCTAG